CACTGTCGTTTTTTTTTCGGGTCGAAATTTTGAATTTCGATATCTCAGCTCTGGAAGGGTCTAGAGCCTCCATTTTTGCACTCAGGTCAAAGTCTCACAGCCCTCTATCATAATCCAGAGTTTTGAGAAGATTGGAGAAACTTAATTTTTCGCCCAAAAATGAAAAAAAACGTAAGGGGTAACACTGTCGTTTTTTTTTCGGGTCGAAATTTTGAATTTCGATATCTCAGCTCTGGAAGGGTCTAGAGCCTCCATTTTTGCACTCAGGTCAAAGTCTCACAGCCCTCTATCATAATCCAGAGTTTTGAGAAGATTGGAGAAACTTAATTTTTCGCCCAAAAATGAAAAAAACGTAAGGGGTAACACTGTCGTTTTTTTTTCGGGTCGAAATTTTGAATTTCGATATCTCAGCTCTGGAAGGGTCTAGAGCCTCCATTTTTGCACTCAGGTCAAAGTCTCACAGCCCTCTATCATAATCCAGAGTTTTGAGAAGATTGGAGAAACTTAATTTTTCGCCCAAAAAAAAAAAACGAAAGGGGTAACACTGTCGTTTTTTTTTCGGGTCGAAATTTTGAATTTCGATATCTCAGCTCTGGAAGGGTCTAGAGCCTCCATTTTTGCACTCAGGTCAAAGTCTCACAGCCCTCTATCATAATCCAGAGTTTTGAGAAGATTGGAGAAACTTAATTTTTCGCCCAAAAATGAAAAAAACGTAAGGGGTAACACTGTCGTTTTTTTTTCGGGTCGAAATTTTGAATTTCGATATCTCAGCTCTGGAAGGGTCTAGAGCCTCCATTTTTGCACTCAGGTCAAAGTCTCACAGCCCTCTATCATAATCCAGAGTTTTGAGAAGATTGGAGAAACTTAATTTTTCGCCCAAAAATGAAAAAAAACGTAAGGGGTAACACTGTCGTTTTTTTTTCGGGTCGAAATTTTGAATTTCGATATCTCAGCTCTGGAAGGGTCTAGAGCCTCCATTTTTGCACTCAGGTCAAAGTCTCACAGCCCTCTATCATAATCCAGAGTTTTGAGAAGATTGGAGAAACTTAATTTTTCGCCCAAAAATGAAAAAAACGTAAGGGGTAACACTGTCGTTTTTTTTTCGGGTCGAAATTTTGAATTTCGATATCTCAGCTCTGGAAGGGTCTAGAGCCTCCATTTTTGCACTCAGGTCAAAGTCTCACAGCCCTCTATCATAATCCAGAGTTTTGAGAAGATTGGAGAAACTTAATTTTTCGCCCAAAAATGAAAAAAAACGAAAGGGGTAACACTGTCGTTTTTTTTTCGGGTCGAAATTTTGAATTTCGATATCTCAGCTCTGGAAGGGTCTAGAGCCTCCATTTTTGCACTCAGGTCAAAGTCTCACAGCCCTCTATCATAATCCAGAGTTTTGAGAAGATTGGAGAAACTTAATTTTTCGCCCAAAAATGAAAAAAACGTAAGGGGTAACACTGTCGTTTTTTTTTCGGGTCGAAATTTTGAATTTCGATATCTCAGCTCTGGAAGGGTCTAGAGCCTCCATTTTTGCACTCAGGTCAAAGTCTCACAGCCCTCTATCATAATCCAGAGTTTTGAGAAGATTGGAGAAACTTAATTTTTCGCCCAAAAATGAAAAAAACGTAAGGGGTAACACTGTCGTTTTTTTTTCGGGTCGAAATTTTGAATTTCGATATCTCAGCTCTGGAAGGGTCTAGAGCCTCCATTTTTGCACTCAGGTCAAAGTCTCACAGCCCTCTATCATAATCCAGAGTTTTGAGAAGATTGGAGAAACTTAATTTTTCGCCCAAAAATGAAAAAAACGTAAGGGGTAACACTGTCGTTTTTTTTTCGGGTCGAAATTTTGAATTTCGATATCTCAGCTCTGGAAGGGTCTAGAGCCTCCATTTTTGCACTCAGGTCAAAGTCTCACAGCCCTCTATCATAATCCAGAGTTTTGAGAAGATTGGAGAAACTTAATTTTTCGCCCAAAAATGAAAAAAACGTAAGGGGTAACACTGTCGTTTTTTTTTCGGGTCGAAATTTTGAATTTCGATATCTCAGCTCTGGAAGGGTCTAGAGCCTCCATTTTTGCACTCAGGTCAAAGTCTCACAGCCCTCTATCATAATCCAGAGTTTTGAGAAGATTGGAGAAACTTAATTTTTCGCCCAAAAATGAAAAAAAACGTAAGGGGTAACACTGTCGTTTTTTTTTCGGGTCGAAATTTTGAATTTCGATATCTCAGCTCTGGAAGGGTCTAGAGCCTCCATTTTTGCACTCAGGTCAAAGTCTCACAGCCCTCTATCATAATCCAGAGTTTTGAGAAGATTGGAGAAACTTAATTTTTCGCCCAAAAATGAAAAAAACGTAAGGGGTAACACTGTCGTTTTTTTTTCGGGTCGAAATTTTGAATTTCGATATCTCAGCTCTGGAAGGGTCTAGAGCCTCCATTTTTGCACTCAGGTCAAAGTCTCACAGCCCTCTATCATAATCCAGAGTTTTGAGAAGATTGGAGAAACTTAATTTTTCGCCCAAAAATGAAAAAAACGTAAGGGGTAACACTGTCGTTTTTTTTTCGGGTCGAAATTTTGAATTTCGATATCTCAGCTCTGGAAGGGTCTAGAGCCTCCATTTTTGCACTCAGGTCAAAGTCTCACAGCCCTCTATCATAATCCAGAGTTTTGAGAAGATTGGAGAAACTTAATTTTTCGCCCAAAAATGAAAAAAACGTAAGGGGTAACACTGTCGTTTTTTTTTCGGGTCGAAATTTTGAATTTTGATATCTCAGCTCTGGAAGGGTCTAGAGCCTCCATTTTTGCACTCAGGTCAAAGTCTCACAGCCCTCTATCATAATCCAGAGTTTTGAGAAGATTGGAGAAACTTAATTTTTCGCCCAAAAATGAAAAAAACGTAAGGGGTAACACTGTCGTTTTTTTTTCGGGTCGAAATTTTGAATTTTGATATCTCAGCTCTGGAAGGGTCTAGAGCCTCCATTTTTGCACTCAGGTCAAAGTCTCACAGCCCTCTATCATAATCCAGAGTTTTGAGAAGATTGGAGAAACTTAATTTTTCGCCCAAAAATGAAAAAAACGTAAGGGGTAACACTGTCGTTTTTTTTTCGGGTCGAAATTTTGAATTTTGATATCTCAGCTCTGGAAGGGTCTAGAGCCTCCATTTTTGCACTCAGGTCAAAGTCTCACAGCCCTCTATCATAATCCAGAGTTTTGAGAAGATTGGAGAAACTTAATTTTTCGCCCAAAAATGAAAAAAACGTAAGGGGTAACACTGTCGTTTTTTTTTCGGGTCGAAATTTTGAATTTTGATATCTCAGCTCTGGAAGGGTCTAGAGCCTCCATTTTTGCACTCAGGTCAAAGTCTCACAGCCCTCTATCATAATCCAGAGTTTTGAGAAGATTGGAGAAACTTAATTTTTCGCCCAAAAATGAAAAAAACGTAAGGGGTAACACTGTCGTTTTTTTTTCGGGTCGAAATTTTGAATTTTGATATCTCAGCTCTGGAAGGGTCTAGAGCCTCCATTTTTGCACTCAGGTCAAAGTCTCACAGCCCTCTATCATAATCCAGAGTTTTGAGAAGATTGGAGAAACTTAATTTTTCGCCCAAAAATGAAAAAAACGTAAGGGGTAACACTGTCGTTTTTTTTTCGGGTCGAAATTTTGAATTTTGATATCTCAGCTCTGGAAGGGTCTAGAGCCTCCATTTTTGCACTCAGGTCAAAGTCTCACAGCCCTCTATCATATTGAGATCCCACGTAGCACTTATCCCATTATAAAAATAGTGTGTTCGCTGACGGTGGAATTTCGGGACGGCCCTTGGTGCCACAGACTCAGGGGGCCTCCCCAAGTGCAGTAAAATAATTTCCATCCCAAAATTTTGAAAGCTAAGTGTAACGGAGGCCAGCTAGTTGCTGTGCGAGTAAACCTCACTCCCCTGATCTCAATTGGCGCTCTAGCGACAGACGCTAGAGGCTGCAGTCTTTAGCCTCCTTGTTAGAGCACCCGACTCTCACACCGGAGACCCGGGATTGAGGCCCGCTCGGAGCGGGTCAGTGGAATTTTGGTGACAAATATAATTTTTGGTTGAACTATACCTTTAAAGGCATAGTTCACCCAAAAATTTAAAAATAGCCCATGATTTAATCACCCTGGCCTCTAGCCATCCTTAGTGTATATGACATTCTTCTCTCAGACGAAAACAATCAGAGTTAAATTAAACAATGTTCTGGCTTATTTTCTTATTTTACTTTATAAAGTTTTAAATACAGATATTTTTCTTACATCTCCATCTTCCTCATTACTCCACATAAAGTCAACATCTGAGATATTTACATTAGCTATATGTTCAAGCACTTCAGAACTGTATATTCTGCACATGAAAAAGTTTCAAAAATGTGTCGGTACTGTGATATATATATATATATATATATATATAAAAGAAATTTTAATCAGCATCACTGAAAATGTGACTTCAGTAAAAGGCTTTCAAACCTACTCTCCATTGTAATGGACAGACACATTTAAAAAAAATCCTGATTTAAAACGTGCAATTCTACAGTCGATTTTTAACTTTAATTAACAAGTTCAATCTTTCTATTTTACTTACAAACTATGAAATACTGGCAAAAATATATACAAAATGTAAATACACCTTAGAAAATGTTGCTTGCTTCTGTGTTTGGAGTGAAGTACTGCCATGCTTCTCTTCAATGTAGAGTTTTTTAAAAAATATAATTACTACATGCAGAGCATTTGATTGCATGACAAACGTTCAATCTCATGGACTGCAGGCTTTAAACTAGGTGAAATGCTCCAGAAGTTAAAAAAAGGGGGCTGACATGTGATGTCCATTGTAATGGACACAGGGTCTGAATGGTTAAAGCTTACTTACCCAACACCTGTTTCTTCTTGTTAAAAAAAGAGAGAAAAATCATTTCTAATCTTTCGGTATGCAAGTATCAGTGTGCTTTAATACATACTTGTGAAGTCTCATAATAATAAAAAACACATCAAGGTTGTTAATCACTTTAATCATATTGATTACTGATCATGTTGATTGATCGGGATGATTGGCAGTGGTCAGAGAGGTGGTGATTGCATATCTGTAATTCAAGTACATCAAATCAAACTTAATACACAAGAAACAGGTGATCAAACTTGACATTGGATACAAGAGCAGGCACAGTAAATCGTACGAGAAGAATTGGATGCAGACAGATCTATCATTCCAAATCATTTTAAGAGGGCAGTTTGCTTCAATGTGTGTGAAAGACGAAGAGACAAGCTTGACTTGTCCTGAAAGAAAAAAACTAACATGTTTGGGAATAAAACAAAATCAAACTGATGTGGACATGTGTCGTTGTTATCTCACTGGAAGCATGCTTTAAATGATTTATTCTGCTTTACGTTGTGACACCTGGACCAAAATGGTCTTAAACGCCTTCTAAAATAAAACCAAAAACAGGCTCTTTTATATATATCTATATATCTATATATGTGTGAACAACAAAGTGGTCATGAAAAATATGAACAATCTTTGAAATGGAACAAAGAGATGAACTCCGAACAAAAACTCTGTATAAAATATAAATTATTCAATAAATTGATAATTATAAACAAAAGCATTTATAAAACTATAAATATGCACAACTTTGAAAAACAAAGACCTATTTGGGCTATAAGGTTTCTTTCTGGGCTGGGAAAGGACCCAGTGACCCAGTGCGGAGACATCTCGTTTTCGCTTGGTAAAGTTTCGAAAATATAAGCGGTGTCATATTGTCTTTCTCCTGAAGGTCGTATGTCCACTTCCATCATCTGCATTCCATATATCAGAAGCCGATGATATCAACACACCCAAAATATCACGAACCGTCCCTCACACCAGACACCGGACCGCTGCCTGCTCGAACCTTCGCAGTCTCTCATATTCATTTCATTCAGTCATTTCTGTCGACTTGCAAATTAGCAGAGGCTTCTCATCTACAATAACAGACTTGCCACATCAAGGGCTTCCAGCATCCATATTTGATCTTCTATCCGCCCTCTCAAACTATGTAGCGTATTGATTAGCACATCGTTATATGTCAGTAATCTATAAACGTCGACTCATTGTGGCTCAAGTGTGACACTCTGAATAATAGCCTATGAACATATAACTTATTGAATAATAAGTTTGTAAATGCCCTTGTGTTAAATGCTAACAGATTAGCTGCAGTGCTACAATGCTAAAGATGCTACTGACTGAGGCCCAGATCTGAAGCAAAAACTCAACTGTGATGTTTTTGCATTATGCTAAAGCTAAATGCTAAAGTTTTAGCTTTAGCCTGGTGTCCTGAGATATAAAAAGAAAAACTTATATTGGGGTAACACAGCATTTTAGGACACCACTTAAGCATGATTAGAATTTGTAATGGAGTTTATCACAAAATAACAAACAGGCCTAAGCACGCTTAACTCAACTTAAATGTTTTGGTTTAGCATTAAGGTTTAGCTTTTGCCTCATGTCCTGAGACATAAAAAAACTTTTAGATAAACAATTTGGGTAAAACTTAGCATTTTAACACACCAAATTACCGTGATTAGAGTTAGCAACTTTAATTCTGTAGCCTATTTTTACAACTCAACTGTGATGTTTTGCATTAGCCTAAAGCTAAATGCTAAAGGTTTAACTTTAACCTGGTGTCCTTTGAACTAAAAATAACTTCTATGATAAACAAGTTAGATTGAACTAAACACCAAATTAGAAATTACCCAATATCACAGAATGATATTTAAAATTGTTCTTTGAAGAATTTATTAGTTTGAAAAGTATTTTGATCCATTGTACAAGCTGTCAGCTGTGCTAAGCTAAAGGCTAAAGACAAATGGAAAGGGATAAGCCCTGTGTCCTAACTTCCTGTTTTAACAGGAAATACATGAGTGTAAAACGGGAACTTTAAAACAATCAGACGAGATGAAAATGAAAAATGGCTGCACGGGCAGGCAGAGGTCTGGTGCGGAACTGAGCATTCACGTTTTTCACCTGAGATTAGAGACACAACGCCTCTACAAAAACACAGTTTCCCACACTGCATCCGTTTGTAAGGAAGACGCCGAGACTGATACGAGCCTCCACTTTGCCTTTGCTACATCTCCGTCAGATTATCATTCATATTATTGCCAATGAGAGCAGGTGAACTCAAACTGAGAACGAAACGCTATCAGCCCCGATACATGTGGGAAAAGACGCCGTATCCCGCTAGCAGGGATTCTAGCATTAGCACAGTTGTTATCATGGCTACAGAGAAAACTAATGTTGTACGCAGACAAACATCAGCCAAACACTTGGATAGATAGACGACCCCACAAAAAGAAAGATACGCAACCAAAATATACAGTCCAGGCGGCATTTCGATGGGAGAAATGAAACCGAACGGGAATGTCACATGGGGCAGTATGTAGCAGAACAGATTTTGGTGGCATTGAGATTTTTTTATTTTTTTAAATCTAAAACTAATAAAACAGTTCAGTGTGTAACTCGCAGTCAGAATTTATTCACATTTTCTTTCTATTTCAAAACAAAATATAGCTCTTTTAAATATATTATTTTCTTAAATATCCATTGCATATCATGTTTTTTTATTTTTATTAACATCTTTATTATTAATATCTTTTTTAATTATTATTTTTTTTTAGCCCTCCCCACTTCAACTAAGGGCTAGCAGAAAATACAGTCATGCAAAGTCTCATGCTGGTAAACAAAGTTACAAAAATGCATTTTTTTAATTATTTTTTTCTCTCCAAGTAGTTTTTTTTTTCATTTGTTTTTCTTTTTCATATATTTTGACATCCATTTTCTCACAGTTCAGTCTACGAGGAAACAATCTCTTTGATGAAGCATATCTCCCTCCAAAAGAGCGCGTTAATATTCTTTTCTTTCGTCCTTTTTTTCTCTATTCTTTTTTTGTGTAAGTCGCTGCGGTTGTTCGTAGGGTGGACGGCATTGCATTTTTACAGTCGCATTCGAACATCGGTGGCGTCGCATGCCTCGTGAACCACGGAGATGTTACTTATCAAAATATAAATTTGTTCTTTTTATTTTTTTGTACATTTATTCTTGATTCGTTTGGCGTGACCTCCTGCGCTCCCTCTGATTAGTTAAGAAGGAACAAGCCAAAAGGAGAGAATACGAGACAGAGACGGAGGGAAACTCTGAAGGCAGTTTTAGACAAGTCGTACATAGACGATTTTTTTTTTTTTAGTAAGGGAGATTTTAAGAATGTCTCTGCATTTCCCTGACCTTTATACCCTCTTTCCATGAAAACGCTAGTTATTGGTCCAAGAAACGCTAGTTATTGGTCCAAGCACTCACATGTGCATGTATATAATCTATGGCAGCATTAGCTATACTAAATCACAAAATAAATCACATAATAAACCTCTATAATCAGAGAGGATTCCCATGGGAAACGTCCTCAATTTGAGGGGGATTAGCGACAGCACCCCTGGCAGAACAGCCAATCCGTTCATATTTAAAGGGACGAAAAGTTCAGATCTGACAGGGAACATCTAAAGTCATTTTGTGCCGTTTTAGCTTTCGTACATTATTATTTGGTCACAGTTGGGCTTTGGTCTGTCGGGACTGTGTTTTTGATGTTGCCTCCCCCGAACGTACGGGAAAAAAACCTGGAAGACTGTTTGGGAATAGCAACGTACATCTGTTACCAAAGCAGAGTGCTGCGTTTCACTTTTGCAGCGCTCTAGATTCATTCACAAAGAAGAGCTACTCTAAGACTCAGACTTTTCTCGGACGGGGAGTGGGAACTACCACACGGCAATACACGGACAACACACTTTGCTGCTAATATGCTGAGTGGGGGGAAAGAAAACAAGAAAAAATTGTGCATGACTAAGTCATTTTTAGTCATTCTGTGCAAAAACGGTCGATGGATATCAGTCTGTAAAAAGTCTGTCGGAGAGTTCTCCCAGCCAAGAAATGCTACAGGGTCTTAGCAGAAATGCTACATAATTATTCTAACTTGGTCCTTCATTCTTACATATAGACTAATATACAGAAACTCAGGGCCCAGGTGAGTGCGGCAGTCAAAACGCCTGGTGTTTTGATCTTAAAACATTGGAATGTTTTTTTCTGTTCGTTCATTCAAGAGTCCTTTTTCTCTTTCAGGTGTCAGTGCAATGTTCGGATTTGTTGCTGTAAAGTCAGTCAGTCTGTAGAAAGAGGAGTGATCCGGAATTTCGGTGAGGTTGCTTTGGTTACCGTGTGAAGATTCGGCATCGGAAATTTCCACTTTCCTTTGTTGTTGTTTTTTTGTTTCCAGTCACACCCTCTTGCCACTCCGACATTCCTCACACGTCCCGTATGGATGGTGCGGTCCCATCTGCAAAGTTTTCAGGATTCAGCGACTAACTGTGTCTCCTTAAAAGAATTGCCAAATGCTAGAAACTTAACACTGTGGACAAAAACAGAAATATAAAGATTTTGTTAGAAGCAAGAATTAATTATGCAATGCTTTAAAAAAAAGAAGTCAAAAAAAACGTAAGATGTAGAAATGCCTTTACAGAAATCACACAAAAACAAAGATACTGACAAAAAACAAAAAAACAAAGAAGAAAAGAATTTGAGACAAACACGGTTAAAACGTTTCTACACACAGATCTCAAGATGAGGATGCATGCACTGAACACCGGTTGTGCAATGTATCTTCTCAGGGGTGAAAAAGTCCAGTCCCGGAGAAAACACACAGGTGCTAATTACAGTTAATGGCGTCACACAAGTGTTTAACCTGAAATCTAAAGATTGAACTTGACTTACTAAATGTGGCCAATTAACTTTCTAGATCAAGCAGGAATGGATTAGTCCACCCCAGATACATTCTAGATCAATTTAAAAATACAATAGGCTACTACATAATTATCGATAAAGGAAACTTATTGATTATATCTGAGAACAGTAGAAAGCTGGGGAGGGTTTACCTGTGAATCGCTGGTAAAAGTTAAGCATGTACTGCAAGAATTCAGTCAACAGATAATTCATTCAACTATATGATAATATAAGCGGAATCATGTGTCAGTTTGAGGTAAATTATGAGGTTTGAACAAAAAATGAAACAGCTGAGCATTTCAGGCCAATGAAATTATGCCTATTTATGTTTTTTTGGATTACACTTTATTTCGAGGGTCTACTTTAGACATTTTATTAACTATAATTAACTTTGACACTACATGTCACTTAACTCTCGTTATCTTGCAACTGTGTGTCAAGTGACTCTCAGAGAACTAGTAAACTGTTAAACTAAGGTTAGGGTTAGTAGAATAAGTTAACATACTTGATAACTTATGGTCAGAAACTAAGTAACTTTGCAACTACATGTCAAGTAACTCAAGTAATTAACTCAAGAGTATTAGTAGACTGTTAGGTTAGGGTCTTAGATTGGAAGTTGACATGTAAATATAAGTAACTTTGAAACTACATGTCAAACTAAATCATTAATTTGTAACTACATGTCGCCTAATTCTCATGAGAGCATTAGTAGACTGCTAGGGTTCGTAGTAGATTAAGTTTGATGTACTTGAAAAGTTACATATAGTCAGTACTACAAGTAACTTTGAAACTACATGTTAACTAACGCATTCATTTGCAACTACATGTCCATTAACTTTCATCAATTTGCAACTACATGTCATCTAACTCTCATGAGAGCATTAGTAGACTGCTAGGGTTAGTAGTAGAGTAAGTTTGACATGTACTTGAAAAGTTACATATAGTCAGTAACTACAAGTAACTTTGAAACTACATGTCAACTAACTCATTAATTTGCTATACTGAAAGTCTAAAGTGGACTATCGAAATAAAATGTTACCTTTTGTTGTTACCAGGTTTTAATAAGGCAATAAATCACTCAAAAAGTGTTGATTGTACACATATACAGCATTCAAACGTTATCTTGGTGAATGAGTGCATTTCAGTTATGGGAAGAAATAGTTTTCTTGTTAATATGCAAACAGAAATTGAAAACGCACACACACACACACACAAATACACTAAAAACAAATGCTCATATACATAAATGTCAACACAACACATTGTTAAAGAACAACCAGCATACATAAAGAGAAAGGCAGAGATGAGTTTAATGGGCATTCACTCGTGTAGATACAGATTTGTACAGATCAAGTTTACGATGTCGGCCTAAGCTTTGCTTTAACAGGTGAAGCTAGTTAAATCTAGCTAGCAGTGTATGAGTCTCTACAACAACACTGTAGCCTAAATTATCCTCATAGAGGGGTCTTGCTTTTTTAATATAAACATGTTCGATGTGTTTCAGTGACCTGACAGTGTTGTAATAGGGCACAACTACATGGAATACACAAGTCAAAGAAAAAAAATCAGTTCTTTTTTTAACATGTTAAACATCGGATTAATACAAGAACAGCACAATATTAACTTCCACATTTACTTACAAATGGAGGAAAGAGATTGTTTTTTGTTTAACTGGAGAATGAATCTTCTCTACTAACTAATCACTAGAGATCCATAACTAATGGAGACTAATCAGTTTCAGTGGAAGAAAGTCTCTGGTTTCACAGTGTATGAGAAGGCCTGGCATCCCGCAACAATTAAAAACATGTTAAAATACAGACATTTTAACAAGGCTTGCTGCCGATGTCGTGCGGGATTCAGTCGTCCTGAGATCTGCTGATGCGAGTACAGTATCATAAAAGTGAAATAAAGTATTATAAAGTTTAGCTTGGGTTCCTTATTTTTTGACATTTCGGTTCTGAATAGAAAATATGGTATTAATTATACAATTTTTATTTTACCACAACTATACCAATGTATCATTTTATAATTTAGCACAAAATGTATCTACTACTTTACTGATAAATTACCATTCAAAGGTTTGGGATGAGAAGATTTTTAATGTTTTTGAATGAAGTCTATTCTTCTCACCAAGGCTGCATTTATTGGATGAAAAATACAGTAAAAAAGCAAAAAACTTTAAATTTCACCAAAAAAAAATGTAATACAATTTAATTTGACTGCTTTCTATTTGAATATATATTTAAAAGGTAATTTATTCCTGTGATCAAAGCTGAATTTCCAGTATTATTACACCAGTCTTCAGTGTCACATGATCCTTCACAAATCATTCTAAAAATCATTTTGTGACATTATAAATGTTTTTACTATCACTTTTGATCAATTTAATGCATCCATGCTGAATAAAAGTACTAATTTCTTCAAAAACTTGTTTTATTCAATTTTGAATCCTTGAACAAAAAAAGATGCCTTTTCGCTTCCATCTACATGTCACTCTATCCAGCCAAACTTTGGTTATCATAGAAACTAGCAATTCCAAATTGGAAACTGGTTTTGGGAAGAAGGGCGACTGAATCTTGCATGACGCCGGGAACATTGTGGGATCCAGGTTTGCATGATAGAGGAACCATGTTTAAAACAAAATGGCTCCTTATATTTACTGTCTCAGCAGTGGGTTGTTCTCCATTGGGAAACTAAATCACATTTAATAATTAAAAACTAGATAACATACAGTTTCCTATAAACTACAACTTTGCAAGTATTGCAACATATTATTTTTCTTTTTGCTATTTCAGGGAAGGATTTTCTCAGAAATGGCTTATTTACTTATATCATCTCTTTTGTTATTGATTCTGGAAGCACTTGGTCACACCGACCTGAATACATATATATTTTTGTCTAGTTCTATTAATCCAAAAAGAAACACAGTAACACGTAACGTATATATCATATACAAATGAAACTGTTGTGTAATGTTTTCGAAAACAAAAACAATTCGTATTTGAAAAACATTCAAAATATGATTAAAAAAACAACATCAGGACACTAACATTGACAAGACACACAAGAAATGCTCTTAAATCATCACATCCTTTTCATCATCTTCTTTAACCTTTTCATTAGGATTAATCATACGCTTGCACATAAATTTAAAACACCACATATGTTTGCAGCATTATGAAATAGGGTGGATTTGCATATGTGGGTGAGATTGCACAATATTCCTTTTTTTTTTGGAGCATCATCTTAAAATCGAACGCTAACACATCACAAACACATCAGAAAAATGATTTCATCAAATGTACTTTCCCCACTTTTTTTTTTTTGCTTCTCATATTCAGTTTTCGGACTAGAAGTCTTTGCTTAGAGGTACTGTATGGGCGAAACTTGACAACATGTTATAATGGGCAAAACAAAGTATGCAAACAAATAAACAAACAAAAATGACGAAGAGCCAATATGTGCAAAATAAAATAAAGTGATTGTATGGCAATGAATTGTTAAATAATCAATTTGTCAGATTTATCTTTCACCCACTCAGTTTTGATTCAATATGTGTGCATTAAAGGAGTAGTTCACTTTTAAAAATGATAATTTACTCACCCCCATGTCATCCAAGATGTCCATGTCTTTCTTTCTTCAGTTGAAAAGAAATGAAGGTTTTTAATGAAAGCATTCCAGGATTTTCTCCATATAATGGACTTCAATGGGGTCCAAATGAGAGTTTCAGTGCAAACTGCAGTTCAAAGGGCTTTAAACGATTCCAGACGATGAATAAGGGTCTTATCTAGTGAAACGATCGCTCATTTCATAAATAAATAAAGTTTAAGTTTAGCACAAATGCTCGCCTTGCTCTTTCGTGACTCTCCTGTTCGAACTCGTTTAACAAAATGACGAATCTTTTTTCGAGTCATGACTCGAAGGCTCCTAGATATGAACATTATTCATCGTCTGGTGTCATTTAAAGCCCTTTGAAGCTGCATAAAAACTCTCATTTGGACCTTGAACCGTTTGGACCCCATTGACGTCCATTATATGGAGAAAAATCCTGGAATGTTTTCATCAAAAACCTTAATTTCTTTTCAACTGAGAAATAAAGACGTGGACGTCTTGGATGACATGGGCGTGAGTAAATTATCAGCAAAAGTTTTTTTTTAAAGTGAACTACTCCTTTAAACTAAGTTATTTGACAGTCCAACAACAAATTCAAACAAACAAACAAATAAACGTGATACATTTCATTTTTTTAACCCTACGAACGTTTCTACTCAGAGTAATGATTGCATATGTACATTGTTCTTGCATTCAAAATTCTGGTGAGTTTTTTACAGTCCAGAATTACATTTATTCACAGTAATATTAATGTTAATTCAGAGTTTGAGGGTAATGGAAGCGTTTTGAACACAAAGCAAGGGTAGCGAGTGCATTTGAAATGAAAATGCATTAATCTATCTTCCTTGAGCATCAAAATCATTCCCTCTAAGACTACCGTGAAAGCATCCCGTCCATAAACACTCGCAGTTATTGACCCGTCAAGTCCAGTTCAAACACGAATCATCTACTGGTCGTCGTTATTGCTATGAATGCGATTATGAGGCTGTCCTGCCTTTCTCTCCTCCTTTCCTGAGTCACTCTTTCTGCTTTTTCTGCTACAAAATGGAGGGAATGGGTGAGCGGCACCGACGGATGGGTCCCGGGGCCTCGTAAGGGTCAAAGGGCGTGCTGGTGATGGGGGTCAAACGCAGGGACGACCCCGCCATTCCTGATATGTTGTTCAGGCTGCGAGATTTCTCGTAACCCGTGGCTGCCAGATTGTTTGTCCACGTTAGTGACAGGTCGAATCAATTTTAAAAGTGTGTTTTTCGATTGAACAGCATGAGCGATGGGGTGGATTACATGTTCGGTTAACACATCGGTTTGAGTGAGAATGTAGCCGAAAGGAACAAAAAAAGCAACATGAGTGTAAAATTTGAAGTGGAACAAATGCGAAGATACAGGGAAAAGACAGACGGACAGACATACACAGGACAAGACAGGACAAAACAGGAAAATGAGAGTTATGAAAATCATCATACATTGGTTTACTAAAAATTCCACAACATATATATAAACACAGTTTCCCAGAACCACAGATAAACGTCCACACATTCCCACTGGTTGAAGAAAACACTGGCTGGATTGTTTGGTAAAGTTGTGATTTGCGACGGCGTGTTTCAGTTAACCAGTGAAGTGTAAGACTAGACAACATACAAGACAGAAGCTGAAGTGCCTTCCTCGGCCAGACCGCTGGAGATTGTGGAAGAAACCACGGGAGCCATTGAGAGACATTTCAACACATTTATAAGCATTAAACAGTATAAAGTGTTGTTAGTGGGTTTGGAAACATTTTTTATGACTTTGCTCCAAAACCTGGTGACCTTCTAAGCGTATGATGAGACTCTCTAATAAGCAATTACAAAGCACAGATGAATTCTGAGTTAAGAATTTTTTTTAATTAATTTTGTATTGATGTATTTGTTTTGTAATGAATGAAAGAATAATTTATATGATGCCTTTCCGAAGCTCCAGGTCAAAAATATATTGATACGTTTTGGTATTAAAAACAAACAAACAAATAATAATAAAAAAACAAATTCTATTTAGAGCTATTTAAATATAATTGACGCATTTTGGAAACAAATAAAATCAATATTTTATGTACTTTCTATTGATGCATTTTTTAATAAATGAATAAATAAATGAATACATTTCATTTATTTTAATTTTCAAGGCTCAAGGTCAAAGATATTTTGACACATTTAGGTAACAAGTTTTTTTTTTGACCCGGAGCTTTGGAAAGGCACAATATAAATTAAATTATTTATTTTGTATTGATGCATTTTTAAAAATAAATAAATAATAACTTAATTTATATGGTGCCTTTCCAAAGCTCAGAAATATATTGATACATTTTAGGATTAAACAAAGAAATAATAATAATAAAACAAATTCTATTTAGCGCCTTTTAAAGGCTTAAGGTCAAATATATATTGATGCATTTTGGAAACAAATAAAATAAATATTTTATGCACTTTGAATTGATGCATTTTTAAATAAATGAATGAATAAATTAATAAATTTAATTTAATTTAATTTCAAAGGCTCAAGGTCAAAAATTTAGTAATACATTATTTTGTATTGATGCATTTTTAAAAATAAATACATAAATAAATAAATAATTTAATTTATATAGTGCCTTTCCAAAGCTCAGAAATATATTGATAGATTTTGTTATTAAACAAACATAAATTATTCTAGTGGCTTTTCAAGGCTCAAGGTGAAAAATATATTAACACATTTTTGGTAATATATATATAAATATATACAGTATATATATATATATATATATTATATTATATATATATTATTTATTATTATATATTTATTTTATATGGTGCCTTTCCAAAGCTCTATGTCATAATAGATACCTTTTAGTATTAAACAAACAAACAAATTCAAATATTTAATTTACATAAGCTCAAGGTCAAAAATATATAGATTTTGGGAATAAATAAATAAACTTTCATTTATTCATTCAATCATTCATTCATTGATATACAGTGCCTTTCCAAAGCACAAGATCTAAAACTTGTCCTACTAAAGGTATACGTCTAGGCGGCTCACTGGGTTTTGGAACAGACTATGTTACTTACTGAGTATATTCTCAAGAAAGGGTTACTGTACTACTATTAAATATCACCCTAAGAAGCTGATTAATACACTACAGATGTGCTCTTGTGGACCGCTGGCTGGTTTCTTTGACAACCTCCTGAACATCCTATTATACTTCACTTGACTGAAAGGTCATAAAGCCTGCATTTGTATAATATAATCAAAAAAATTTTCACAACACTTCCACTGCATTCACATTGTCGGAATTACCGTAATAAAAAGATGACAACAAAATCTATGCTGTTTACATCTTCACACTCATAAAATGCCAACATTTGTGGCTTTGCTGATGACATGAAAATAAGCAAAAACAAAAAAAATCTTGCAAAATATTAGGCCTACATAAAAGTTGTAAGCAAAAACAAAGTACCCCAGAAACTCCGAATTACGGTAATTTCGAAATCATGACAAGTAAATCACAAGTGTTCAGTGCATTATAATTCCATCTTTTGCAATAGTAATAAAAAAGAAAACCAGTCTCACGAGGGTTACATTGAGCTTTTGTGAGATTAGAAATCAGGCTTTAGTGACCAAACATTTAAGTGAAGTGACAGGCAGCGACCTTCCGCCCACATATCAGGTTTATTTGTCTCTCTCCCGCCTTCTCCCTATATGCGTGTTTGTTTGGGAGAGGAAGAGGTGAATGTGGGGAAAGTTTGCCGCACGTTGATCACAGAAAAATACTCTGGAAGAAAAACAAGGACGATAAGGAAAAAAAAAGAAAGACAACTACTGAAAGTAGGACAACAGCTTGGACACACACACTTGGACACGCACAACCACACACACACACACACACACCCACACCCACACACACACACAAATGTGCTGAGTCAGGTCTGATATAAAATTTTCACACACACATTTTATAGTGGCTTTCCATAGACAAAATGATTGTTATACTGTATACTGATTGTTCTACAGCATGTGTGTATAATACTGTACAGCGCACACACACCGCTAAGTACAACACAACCACTACTCTATCTGCTGGTCTGGACAACAGAACAACTAACCCAACTAGATTGTTTCACTCGTCCACCATCGCTTCAGACAGCCACACGCCCCTTTTTATTTTGTTTGCCTAGTAAGAGCTTTTAAAGGATTCCTCAGGAGACAGAGCGCATTAGTGAGGGTGGAATAAGACAGGAAGAGGGAATATATTTAATGGGACTGATGGATACTCGATGGAAGTAGGACGGTGTGTGAGAATGTAGCCCCATTAAAACAACAGGAAATTCGTGTGACAGCACAGTGAAAGAAAATAACGGGCTGACCAATCAAAAATGCATATATAAAAAATATCTGAACTGAAGACAACATGAAATTAAAATGGACCTCATTTACCGTATTAATAAATATACCTGGTCACATATGTATACATATCCATGATTCAAACAAATCCAAAGGCTCCAGAAGTATCGAAGTATAACGTGTTGACATCTCATGTTGTACATATCTACTAAAATATGCCTATTAATACCTGAAGCGTGTTCTTGCTACATTATATTCTTAAAATACAGCATTGCACTATAAAATGCAATGTAACACAAAATAGAATAAACGCTACAATTCCAACACATTTACCATGTTAAATACCCACAACAGCTTTGATACCTCTCACGCTAATGTAAGTGCGTTATAGTTTCTATTATATTTCTTATTTTATAATATTACTCAGTATGATGAGTGCTACAAGACTTGCATACCTACTGTGAACCAGGAAAACTTCATAAAGAAGTGTTTCCCGTTTGAACATGTACAGAACAATTTAAAACAGTTGATGTACCTACCATAGTCACGCATTAGAAACTCTGGTGCTGCACTGACGGCCTGGAGGCGAATGAAGGATGAGATGAGTGTTAGTCACACAGTGGAAATAGTAAAAAAAAAAAAAGAGAGTGAATGACATGAAAGAACAAAAAAGGGTGTGTGCAAATATCAAAACTACATTTAGATGCCCTAATAAAATTATACTCTTTAATAAAGGCCACAGTAGTAGGCCTACATGCGACCACGTACAGCATCAGCATCAGTTAGGTAACGTTAGGCTATAATGATGATGACACCCCGAAAAGTTGAGGCAATAATGGGTGTGATTGAGGTTATTGGATATGTTAGGGCTGGGTGGAAAATAGAAATTTCGGCTGAATTACACTCTTCACATTATTTTGCAGCACTTCTGCCTTCCAAAAAAATCCAAATAAGCATTGTGCCTTTTAAATTTTTTTAATGAATCGTTTGCTAATACTGTTAATGCTGCCTTAACGTGCTATCGGGCATTTTCTACTTCCTATTTCTGAAGTCATGATTTCGAGCTCGTCGCATTTTGACTTAAGAGGGCGTTCATGTCCATATTTTTTATTAGCTAGGAAACTAATATGATGCTTCCAATAGCACGTGAAGGCAGCATTAAAATCCTAAGATTTCCATTTCCACTCATATTTCCGACGTTGTGGTGGCGTTCATGTGCCTTCAACTCGGAAATACGATCTTTCCGACAAGACTTGAACACACGAAAGGCTCAGCTTTCAAACTCTGTAAATTTTAATGCGAAAAAAAAAAAACATAAATACCGTTTTGGCGCTCTTTATTGTGACGTGACAGATCTCAGTTCAAGTGAAGCGGCAGCGCGGAGCGCGCGTGAGTGAACGGATCATCTCTTCCGCTTTAACGTTAGTTAATTTACTTAGGCCTACAACACGAAATAAACAACACGAATATCAGAAGGTATGTTGTTGAAAGATACAGTACAACTTTCCCAAATCCGCATTATGTCTCATGTAATCTCATTTAATGTTTTACTGAAGGAAAGACGTCAATAAAACAACTTGTAAACAACAGCTGAACGTTAGCATGTAGGCATTAGCTAACTTACCTCAGAAAAGCCATTCACGGACCATAAAGCTAACTTTAGCTAGAAATATATACTTTAGGGAGGAGCATTTTGCTATACATGCACTAAATTACATATTCATTATATTTTTACTTAAAATTTTCTTCAATATTTAATGTATGTTGTATAAATCCATCATTACAAGTTATGACAGGCATTTTTAAATGTTTATATTACAACAACGAATTTGAAACATACTTTCTACTATATAGAGGGTAGGCCTATCATTAAAAAGTAATCATCATAAAACTACCATATGTCCTATTTAAATGTTTGTACAAATCTGTTGTTAATTTTAACCTTTAATATTACAGTAATACCAAATGACAGGGTTTCTTAGTTTACATTAGTTGATAGAAATTTAGTTCTTGGCAAAAAATATTACATTTACAGTACCTTATATGTATGCTAATTAAATTAAATGATACAAAAAAATCGAGATGTGGAACAGAATTGAATTGCCAGCTTATGAAATTTGTGCCAATACCCAGTCCTGTTTTCTGTCATATGTTGCTTAGGTCTACATGTGTGCAGTGAAATCTTTATTCTGTTCTGGCAGTATCCCGGCATATTGATGGCTGGGCTGTTAGCTATAGAGAGAGCTCACATTACCCACAATTAAGCTCTATCGATCGGCTTGTGACCAGAACACCGCAACCATGACGGGCCGCTCACTGCTGGAATGTGCTGTAACAGGAGAACGGATCAAATGCGCTGCTGATGCTGTTCTGTTATCAAACTAGTCCTTAAACTTCAACAGTGGCACTTTGTTAACCTTCAGCACAACACGATGGCACAATAATAATAGAGAAGGAGAAGCTAGTTTTTAGACAATATATAGGAGGCCTGTAAACAATGACACTAATCTATAGTTCAAAAATGGGTTTCTAAATGACAGGTTGTGATATTTGCAGACAGGAAATGGACAGTTGCAAACACACACACATGCAACATTAACAACTACACACATATACATGGAAGGAGTGTGTGTGTGCGCGCGTGTGTGATAATATGAGATGAGTTAAGTGATACAGTGATAACACCCTCTGTTATTTTTAACTAAATGCATTGTTATTCCAAATTGTGAGAATTTATGTTACTGTTACAAAATCCGCTTATATTTTTGAAAATAATGACGAATCATACCAATTAAATTGAACTAATGACTAAAATTCAGATTTCCTGATGCATTGCACAATTGAATCGTATAATCATGGCAAATATTTACACGTCTATCGGTAATGTATAACCGCTTCACTACACAGCCTAAATATAGACCTGATGGAGACCCTGCTTTAATGGAGAAAAAAGAGAGTTCATGCTGTTGCCTTGACGGAACTAGAGCACACCTGTTTAGTTTTGAAAAATGTCCCGCTCGAAGGCATCTTTCATAAGGACTATAACTTTCAACTTGTAATGCAACTTTAGGCTACAATTTGTGGAAATATCAATAAACTGAGAGACTGTTATGTGAAAGACACCCACGCTTTACACCTTTCTTGAAACAGTTTAAAGTGCTTCAATAACAAAATATAATTAAATCCATAAAGGGGTCATATCATATATAACAGCAAAAACATTTTTTTTACGTATATGATGAATGCATGATTATCTCTGACTGTCAAGTTCAATTGCAATTTGGCTTGATTTATTAAAATCAGTAGGCCTATTAAATATTCAATAAATAAATGAACAAAGAGCGAATTTAAATAAAAAGATTTTTTAAATTAAAATATAAAAATAAAAAAATGCCTTCATTTTAAAGTTAGGAATACTTGATGTATTATGATTATTATATAAATATTTATTAATGCATGGTGAACGCTGATTGTCACATTCAGTTGCACTTGCAACTTTGCTGGATTCATAACAATAAAAATGAAAATATTCAAATAATAAAATCTTAAAAATAAATAAATCTATACAGCAATAATTTAAAATATATTTTTTTATGAAAATTAAAATATATTACAATCAATATATAAAAAAAACCATTAAAATATTTTAACAATAAATAGCAATTAGACTGATGATAATGAATGTTTTATCTCAAAAGATTGAGGAATATTTGTTTCTTTATGATATGACCCCATTAAAATCAGATTCGCTTAGTTTTAGTCTCGAATAAAAATCCATATATTGTAGTTGCTACAATGAAACTACTGATGTTTGCTTGCGAGTGTGGCCCAGAAAACAGGTCATTTTGACCAGTGGTCGAAAATTGACCAGTTTGAACAACACACAAACAAGACCATAAACATATAAGACAAACAACAGGAAGACAACAGAAGATCGAGAGACACACGGAGAGGGAAAGAGAACTCACGATGGCTTACAGAGATCCTTCACAGAGACTTCAGTTGTCAGATACTGACTTTGACTTTGAGCAAATAGCCTCATGCAAACAGCATTACAGCAGGGCAGGTCGGTGCGAGCACCCCCACACACACACACACACTCCTCTAAGAACAGTGAACAGCATTTAGGGATTATATTGCACAGGAAGAGATCGCTTTAACACCCAGAGCAATATGTGTGTGTCTGTATAGGTTCCACAGATGGCAGGAATATATTTAGATCTTAAATCGACTCCCATTGGCACAGACTCACGCACACACAGTTTACACTCACTGAATCGTGCCCAATTAACAGTCTAATGTCCGTTCAGTGAGGCACTATGGCTCTGTTCCAAACCCTAGTGAGCTGCCTTGCTGTCTACGTAGTCTGTTAGCTTCTAAGGCAACATCCTAGCCGAAATGGACCCTCATAAGTGACTGATCTGAAATGCTCTCCATGGCCACTAACTGTGTTAATGGTTACTCACACACCACACAAATAGTGCCGAGCGCCCGGGAGACTCGACGGATGCTTGCAGTTGATTCCAGTGAGGGCTGACGTCAGCAGTTGCACAAATAACACGCACATAATGGGTGAAATAGTGCATTTTAAATGCATGAAACCATTTTCCATGCCATGACTTTTTCGATGAAAATCACAATGCATTATGGGTTACATATGATTCCACCTTATGTTGTGGCCAAAACAAGGTATCTCATCAAGGCCGCATAATTAGGGTGCTTGCCACGACTATTTAGTTATTTTATCATCAATCATTTCTATGCTTATTTAATTATTTTATACCTAGAATTGATTTGATTTGATTTGAAATGATTTGAACAAACCCATAACCCCAAATATTAAATGTTGGTGTGAAATTTGCTATTGCTTATGTTATTATTGTCTAAAACTATTAAAAATCATTTTGTTAATTCGAAAAAAATCTGAAATATAATATAAACATTAGATGAAAAACATAAAACTTAAATGAAAATGTGAAATGTGAAAAGTACTAAAATGACTAAAACTAAAGTTAAAATCTAAATAAATCAAAGCTAAATAGAAACAAAAATGACAACAAAAAAACTACTAAAACATCATTGATAGTCACATTCAGTTTGTATGTTCTTTGCAACAAGAAAAAAAAATATTTAAAAAACTACTTTAGTTCACGGGGATCGCTGACTATCAAGTTAAACGTATAAATATTAGATAAATAAAATAAAAAAAATAAATATGGAATAATACGATTTTTTTTAAATGAAAAAATAATAATTCATCTTTTTATTACAATTCCTCATCATATGACACCCTTAAATCAGAGAATATTAGAGATTTAGAGAGAATGTGTGTATTAATGAAACTATTGTAGCTCCATATGCTCTATAGTCTATACTATATAGATGTTTGCTCACTAGGTTTTGAAACAGAGCCTGCCAGTTTAGCTAAGATGCCATCTAAAAAAAACTCACACATACACACACATATCCTCAACAGACACTGGTCACTGGTCTTTAAAGCTGAACGTGATGTTATTTCTGCATCTATAGGTTCTCTGGATGTTAAAAATGATCGAGCGACTGCGTCCCAGAAGACGAAGGATAAGTGCTGGGAAAACACCACGCTTCCTTCTTACCTGCTCTATGTCAGTCTGTCTGTGAGTCTGTCCAAATATCCCAGTGTCTGTCTGTCAACCAGTCAATCAGACGTCAGTTACACAGCACACACACCTCAAAAACAAGAGCTAACACACAGACTGTCACACACACATGTAGGAGATTCAGGCTACGCTAGGAACTGAAGCAGGTTGAGGTCGTATGAGCAGATTCATAGGAATCCGTGCCACACATAAACATTTTCCCCTCACTGTTGCGATCGGAAGCAACATCCGATCAAAAAATATATTTAGGCTAAATTTTAGATTATGTATTTAAATTGCATATTAACTCAGTGTGTATGCAATTCAAATCTATAAATAAATCTTAAATTTAGGCCCAAATATGTTTTTTGAGTGAATGTTGTCCACAAAGTGTTTGCAGCATGGCACAGAACCGAGAACTCGTGCTCATTTGAATTCACCTTGACCTCTATCGACCCCTGACCTTTAACCCTGAGGTGATTAACCCACCTAAGCAACCTTCCAGTTAGTTTTTTTTTTTTACGCGAGTGCATTTTTACGTGTTGCCTCGGTGCGCACCCACCATCACTCCAGGGTTAAAGGTCACCGGAAGAGTGAGGGAAACACATTGAAAACACAATAAGCAACGTCACATCACAACAAACACAACGCACGCACACACAGCGAGGAGGAGGACGGGGGAAACGGTAGAACAGTGAGAGAATATATGAAGAAGCCAACATACAAACGCGGGATATGACACAACCTGAAGAAAAAGACAATACAGAGCGTGTGAGATCCCACTGAAAACACACACACACACACTGCAGCATTTGCAGTTCCATTTGTAATTGCAGTGGATCTCATTTGACATTGAAAACAATCTTTGTTGTTACACACCATAGTGTCCAACTTTGTCCCATATGCATGTTTTTGTCATTACAGAGTATGAGGTTAGTGTAACAGACCTGAATACGTCTGAGTAAAGATTGGGTTTCTGCTCTCTTCTTTTGCAACATCGCAATATTTCAAAGTATCTTTAAATGAATATTCCAGCTTATTTTCAACCTAATAATTTGGATTCTTTCACAATAATAGAGTGAACGGCACGGCAAATCAACAAAGTACAACTATTAAATTGTCTGAAACACTTAAAACATTACATGTGATGGTTTGAGACCAGTGTGATAAAATGACCAATGCATCTTTCTGTGATACTCAAATCTGATTGGTCAATCACTGGATTCTGCTCTCAAACATGTTGATGTAATGATGTAAAAGGAGTAGTTCACTTTAAAAAAGCTTTTGCTGATAATTTGCTCACCACCATGTCATCCAAGATGTCCACGTCTTTCTTTCTTCAGTCGAAAAGAAATTAAGTTTTTTGATGAAAACATTCCAGGATTTTCTCCATATAATGGACTTCAATGGGGTCCAAACGGTTCAAGGTCAAAATGAGAGTTTCAGTGCAGCTTTAAACGACACCAGACGATGATTAAGGGTCTTATCTAGGACCCTTCGAGTCATGACTCGAAAAAAGTTTCGTTCATTTTGATGAACGAGTTTGAACAGGAGAGTCACGAACGCTCATCACAGAACAGAGCAAGGCGAGCATTTCTGCTTATAAAACTTAAACTTTTTTATTTATTTTATTTAGGTTTCACTAGATAAGACCCTTATTCATCGTCTGGTGTCGTTTAAAGCTGCACTGAAACTCTCATTTGGACCTTGAACCGTTTGGTTCCCATTGAAGTCCATTATATGGAGAAAAATCCTTGAATGTTTTCATCAAAAACCTTAATTTCTTTTCGACTGAAGAAAGAAAGATAAGGACATCTTGGATGACATGGGGGTGAGTAAATTATCAGCAAACGTTTTTTTTAAAGTGAACTACTCCTTTAAACAGTCTCAATATCAACCTAAAATGTACCGTTCAAAATGTTGGGCTCACCAAGGCTGCATTTAATTGATCAAAATTGAATATTGTGAAATATTATTACAATTTAGAATAACTATTTTCTATTTGAATATATTTTAAACTATAATTTATTCCTGTGATCAAATCTGAATTTTCAGCATCATTACTCCAGTCTTCAGTGTCACATGATCCTTCAGTAATCACTCTAATATGATGATTTGCGGCTCAAGAAACATTTCTGATTATTACCAGTTAAAAACGTTTTTTTCTGCTTAATATTTTTGTGGAAACTGTGATCCAATTTTTTTGTCAGGATGAATAGATAAAAAGAAAGCGAAAAAAAAAAACAGCATTTATTTGAATTAGATATATTTTGTGACATTAAAATTGTCGTTACTGTCACTTTTGATCAATGTCCTTAAAAACAAACCTGGAATATTCCATTAAACACATCTGATTGCCAGTCTACCGTCCTCTACACACAGTGCCAGAAAAATGCACATTTAGAGTAAGATTTGTGTCATCGTACTGTATTTGTGCTGAGTTTCTACATGCCGAGTGTTAAAGTGGGTGATAAACTGTCCCCAGTGCACAGACATTTTTGGCATTGACTGTCCAGAGTGGGACAGTCAGCAATTTAAGAGGTGGCCAATCTGCAAAAAACATACAAGAGCAAATCTTTGTCAGAGAGTGTGTGAAACCCAAACTTAAACTCATATTCAGCAACATCATACAACATTAGATTCATTTCCTTTAACAGATGAAACTAATGACAGTTTGTTAGGACAACAACACAACATCAACACGAAAAATTGCACGCATTAACAACGAAACACCCATGCAGGTGTAAATGTGTGTGTAATTGTGTTAAATATCCTAGATCAGTAATGTTTCTATTTCTGTGGTTGGTCTTTACCTCTGATCACTACGGTTTGATCCAGTTTGCATTAATATTCTTCCAGCTCATACCATTCGTCTGTGATGGGCCGTCGGCTGATATCCTAAATCTAACTGTGCCAAATGGAGTCGGGTTGGGATATATCAGGTTCTGAGAATTGTGCGTGCATGGATCGGACATTGTTCGTGTCATTTGTTGTGCGTTTTTGTGGATGGAGAGGAGATCTTTGTGGTTGTTGGAGGTGACAGAACAGGGTCACAAAGTGTTGTGGGATGTTGTTGTGTGTAACAGAAGGTTTGACACTGAAAATGAAGACCAAGGATCAAGGGAAAACGCAATGCAAAAAAGAAATTGAGAGATGGAATATAGACGGCAAAAAGAAGAGGATGGTGAACGTGAGGAAAGAAACGGAGGAGAAATGGTGTATTATTATGGAAAATTAGACATGGAAAAAAAAAACACCAAACCGAAATTAAGAAATTAAAGAAAAAAGAGAAGAGGAAAAATGTCAAAAGAGAGATTTTTCAGATGTCGGTGTGTTTTGAGGATGTTTTCACACTTGAATCCTAAAATAACCAACTTCAGATCTGATTTTGACCCAATTTAGTGTGCATTGACTCAACCAATGGTGTAAATTAACAGTGGGATCATATGTTTGCTGGACAATATTTCTGCAAGTTCATTTGGTGCTCAGAACTGACACACTTCACATTTAAATCTAATTTATTTATTGAAAATTGCATACATTTCTGTGATGATTTCCTCACTTTGATGACTTCACTGCTAAATGATTATATGTACATGTAAAATATTTTATTAAAATAGCATAAGCTGTTCATTTCCTACCATACCTTAAAATAGTCTCAAAATGTATGCGTTTACAAATATGATACACAAATGCAATTTATATATATATATATATATATTTGCTAACAGCAATGTATAACTCAGTTTATGTTAAAAAAAAAAAACAGAAAAAAATCCGTCAGAGCTAAGACAATTTTTTCCCACTTAGAATTAAGTTTATTTTTCTTACCCCACTCGTTTTAAACAAACTCATTTACTTTTTCAGACGTACTTTTGCTTCTCAAATAAATGTTTCTTGATTTAAGAACGTTTAGATATTTCTACTGTAAAACATGACAAAGATACTGAGAAATAAAATAATTTTCCATAGCAACTCACACACTTGATCATTCATAAATGTAGATTCAACAAACAAACTTTCAGAAATGTGCAAAAGTGCTTGTGCTTTTAGGAATTGTTGGTTGGTTGGGCATTTGCTAATAGAATTTTGTGAATATAAATGAAGTTATGGTTTGCAGTTAGCAGGTATCTGACTACACAGATGAGAATATAAAGTGAGCCTGGCATGCTTTTTGTTACGCACGATATAAGCGAACCGTACAGTGGGTTTAAAGGGAATGGTTTTTGGACCAGTGCTCAAGGGTCAGAGTTTATTTGGTGTGTTCATATGCATATGCATAAACTAAATTGCAATTCTCGGCCGCTTGATTATTTCTATCATCACAAAATTTCAACTAAACTATCGCACAGCTCTATTTATACAGTTGGATGTACATTCAACATTATAAAGTACACGTAAAGCGATACATGCTTATCTCAGTGGCTTGATTGTTTATATTGATTACACATTTTCTTTGAAATATAACGCTATATAAATAAAACTGACTTTACGTGACAAATTTATTATGAATGCTCTCAGCCTCGTGAAACCACCCAAGTGTGAAAACACCCAGAGATGTTTCTGGTTATGTAATCTGTATTTTTGGAGAGATGGACACGAGTGTGTGAGACGGGCAGGTTTTAGGGGATGCTTGTGTGTGCAAACTATGCTAGAAAGGGGTCTTTAAGATCTAACACATCTGGGATTGGGCAGAGACTGTGTGAATACGTGTGTGTGACTCGCTTGCAGAAGCATTTAAACGCACCTTTCCGCACGTTCCCATCAGTGGGTCGAAACTCTCGCGTGTTGAGGAGGAAGCAGGCTCTGTCCTGCTGGTAGCGTTCTTGTGTTCGGCCGATCGGGCTGCGCTCGTCCGGACTGAGAACCTGATCGATGGTTGGACAGTCCTCGTTCGCTAGAGCGGCACTGGCTGCGTCACCGTTCTGCTTCGAGTCTGAGGAGAGACATGAATCAACACAAAAAGCGTGAGACAGGAGAGATGCGGGACATTCAACAGGAAGCTGCTGTACGTTAGGTGAAATGTGACTGGATTACATGAAAACATCTTTTAAAGGAAAAGATCTTCTAAAAATATAAATTGTGGCATTAATTACTTCCTAAACTTGATTGACTTTAACTTCTTGAGTCAGTGTGAGTTGAATTTGAGGACTGAATCGGGTTCATTTGTGAACGAATCATTCACACTAGCTCTGAGAACTCATTTAAAGGAGTTTGACACTTAAATAAACAAATAAATCAATCAATCAAATAAAGGAGTAGTTCACTTTTAAAAAGCTTTTGCTGATCATTTACTCACCCCCATGTCAATGTCATCCAAGAAGTCCATGTCTTTCTTTCTTCAGTCGAAAAGAAATTAGATTTTCTCCATATAATGGACTTCAATGGGGACCAAACGGTTCAAGGTCCAAAAGACAGTTTCAGTTCAGCTTCAAAAGGCTTTAAACGATTCTAGACGATGAATAGGGGTCTTATCAAGCGAATGATTGGCCATTTCAAAAATAAATAAAAAAGTTTAAGTTTTATAAGCACAAATGCTCGCCTTGCTCTGTTCTGTGATGAGCGTTCGTGACTCTCCCGTTCGAACTTGTTAATCGAAATGAACAAATCTTTTTTCGAGTCCCTAAAAAAAGATTCCCTTATTTGTCGTCTGGTGTAGGTTAAACTGTGATTTGGAAATTGAACCTTTTGGTTCCTAATGAAGTCCATTATATGGAGAACAATCCTGGAATGTTTTCATCAAAAACCTTAATCTCTTTTTGAGTGAAGAAAGAAAGAAATGGACATCTTGGATGACATGGGGGTGAGTAAATTATCAGCAAAAGTACTTTTAAAGTGAACTAATCCTTTAATTGATTTGATTCATTGAAATGATGTCTAAAAACAGTGAAAAATTAATTTTGAGCTGTTCCTCATACTAAGCATATTGTATAGCACATGAATCGCATAGAGGACTTTTATTATACTTTTTTTGGCAGCTTGACCGCTCCAGTTCTCATTAAGATACTTTGAACTGGGCGAACTATTCCGTTGTAAAATCAGATAATCTTAATGATAATCTGGTTCAGATATGGTCCATTCTGTAAGCTTCTATAGTCCTGCATTTCTTATTCTTAAAATCAAAAGATATTTAATCCGCAAACAACAAATCAGCTAAATCGGAGATAAAAACAATGGTTGTTGCTCTACGTTAGAGACAAAATAGCTAGCATGTCCTGAATGAAAGAAATTACTATGCAACTATATCTAGAACTAATGTGATAGCAAAATCAAAAGCTGTTAGGCAAGGTTATGCATTACCCTGATTGCTGTCCTGTACCTTATATAACTACTAACAGTGACCCTAAAGAATATTAAGAGACTTGCAGGTTTGAAAAACAATGAATAATTTATAATAGACATGACATTAGTAGGGAGAGCAGTGCATCTGTAGAATCACACACACACACACACACACACACAGTTGGACAGTGCAAGGACATGATGTTGCATTATAGCATTTTAACAATATTTTAACAATGCACTAATACATTTTCCGACACAGCCCCTTAATATCTCTTTCAGATGTCTTTGGCGGTTGTGGCTTTTTGTGTATTTTTTTTTTATATGACTTGAAGTTTCATTTGCAAACTATTAAGTTCACAGAAATTAATACATAAATATAAACAAAATATAACATAACATAATATTTAATAGGCCTACATAAATCATTCTCAATCAATCAATCAATCATTATCCCAAAATAGCTATTTAATATATAAATATAAAAAATATGTAATATAATACAATAATATAATATATAAAAACAAAGTTTGATGTAATAGTCCAAACTTTTTATATATACACGTTATATATAATATTATAAAAATTTCTGGATTTCAGGTAAAATAATCATATGATATATTAATCATATCAAAATAACATTAAAAATATTCAATCATATTATTGAAACTTCTTGTTCTATGGCTTTCACACATAATAACATAAAAAAAAAAATGATGGAAAGATTTTTCCATAACAGCAGTGAGTGAAAGAGTGCTCTGTCTCACCTCTGTTGATCTCTATGATCTCCTCTTGAGCTAGCGGACAGTCACCCGCCAGTCCTCCCGCCAGTCCACCCGCCAGCCCACTCGACCCCAGCACGCCACCCAGCACGTTACCCAGGATCCTCTGGGGCGAGGCGGTCGCCATTGCCAGGGCGTCCGGCTTGCAGTAATTGGGCGAGCCGGGTTGCGGGGCTCGCGGGATGTGTTTGTTCTTCTTTTTAGGCAGCTTCTGCTTGGCCATGGCCAGAGAGTAATACATGCCGAAGTTGTTAACAATCACGGGCACGGGCATGGCAATAGTCAGCACCCCCGCGAGGGCGCACAACGCCCCCACCAGCATGCCCGACCACGTCTCCGGATACATATCTCCATAGCCTAAGGTGGTCATGGTCACCACGGCCCACCAGAAACCAATGGGGATGTTCTTGAAGCTGGTGTGCAGGCTCGCCGTGGGGTCGTCCGGACTGGCTCCTATCCGTTCGGCGTAGTAGATCATGGTGGCAAAGATGAGAACGCCGAGAGCGAGGAAGATGATGAGCAGGAGGAACTCATTGGTGCTGGCGCGGAGTGTGTGTCCGAGGACGCGCAAGCCCACGAAGTGACGCGTCAGCTTGAAGATACGCAGGATTCGCACGAAGCGCACCACGCGCAGGAAGCCCAGAACATCTTTCGCCGCTTTGGAGGAGAGTCCGCTCAGACCGACCTCCAGGTAGAAGGGCAAGATGGCCACGAAGTCGATGATGTTCAGCGCGCTCTTGAAGAACTCCACCTTGTCGGGACAGAAGACGACGCGCGTGAAGACCTCGATGGTGAACCAGATCACGCACACCCCCTCCACGTAGGTGAGCCATCTGTCCGTGACCACCTCGTACACGATCTCCTCTTTCGTCACGTTCCCTTCCGTCACGTTCTCCGTTTTGTTGTAGATGGTGTTGAACGCTTCGTGCGTCTCCATGCAAAAGGTGGAAATGGAGATGAGGATGAATAGCAGGGATCCGAACGCCACATACTGAAAGAAAGAAAAAGAGAGTGTTCAGCAGGGGGGACGAAACAAACACACAAAACTGTCAAATATCACCATGAATACTTCCAAACAAGCATTTTATGTGCACCTGTTTTGAAACAATAAGAGCTACACTAATGAACTTGAACCGATTTAACCAGCATGCATTGTTCCGGTAAGCTGATGCTTTTATCCAAAGGAACTTGCATTACACACTCATTACAGACACAATCCCTCCAGTAACCTGCAGTTAAGTGCCCTGCTCAAGGACACAGTGCTGCTATCAGCTAATGACGAACCAGCGTCCGGGAGTTTATAGTCCGAAGCTTTAGCCATTACTCTTGAATGGTGGAACACAAACCCACAAACGGAGGTTCATTTTCAGATGTCCACTGTATGCATTATTTATTATTATATATAACATTTACATTTATGCTTTAGATAGACACTGGTGTTATTTCAAAAATATTTATATATATATATATATATATATATATATATATATATATAATATTTAAAAAAAATGTAACATATAAAAAATGTAATATAATATTATATATATATATATATATATATATATATATTATAATAATATTATATTAAATTTTTTTATATATTACATTTTTTTTATATATATATATATATATATTCATTTTAGACATTTTGCTGTTTTTTTGTGTGTGTGTTTAGTTATTTTTTCAGTTATTACTTTAATTTAAACTTTCCAACACTGATCTTAGGTAAAACGATACGTTTCTATAAACGGAGACATACAGTATGATAGCTTTACATAGAGATCAGTGGCAATGCAAGGAAGTGAACTGCTGATTCTGTGATCAATACAGTTCAATAAAAAATGATCCAAAGCATCACTTCACATAGAAAGACCTGGTAGAAAGAGGGTTATGTACTGGATAAAACATTAAAGATTAAAGATTTAAAGATTACAATCTTATCGGTTAGTTCACAATATCGGTGAATATAGGAGACTTTCGAATAATTATGATCATGATTTTTAAAAGATGTTTTAAACATGTAAGTGAACCATCAGTCTGTAACTTAACTTTTGCCTTGGCAACTTAAAACAAATGTTTAACTAAGACATGTGTACTAAAACTGAAAAAAAAAGTGGAAGCTAAAAAAAAGTCAAAAGTGCATGGCAAAATTAATATAAAAGTAAAAGTTAAATCAAAATATGAATAAATACTATAACAGTATATAAATACTACAATAACGCTCAACACAGCTCTGACAAAATTGTACATTTTACATCAGAGGTCTCAAACTCGCGGCCCGCGGGCCATTTGCGGCCCGCGGGATGATATTTTGTGGCCCCCTACTTGATTTTAAAGTTTAAGGTTAGTGTGGCCCGCCGTTGCGTTTGCCGCGTTATTTTTATTATTAATATTTTTATCCCTTATGGGCTACCATATATAGTCTCGTGACAGCTTACCGTGGGTTTGTTGTCAATAGTTGTCATAGACAACCACGAAGTACAAATATTGCGCCTGGAAAAAATGAGCGCGTCGCTTCAATTATGAGCGCGCTCGGCGCTTGATGCGCGCCGCGCCTACGTTTGAAACGTACTTGAGCGTGCAAAATATGTGAGCGCGATATGTGAACAGGCGAGCTACCACCACCAAATCAGCCCACAGCTACTGATAGCTCGCGAGCGACGTGTTGGATATCCCTGCTCTAAAACAATGTGAGAATAATCATTTTGATCTTGTAATACGTGTTGTGTCTGAACGCGTTCAATGAACGATAGTTAATGAACTCGTTCATATTTTGGGCGAACGTGAACTGAACGTAGCCTACTGTATTACTGCCTGATGAACGTTACAGTGAACTCGTTCATTCTAGTGTCTGTGAACCGAGGAGGTGTCGTAAGATCATTTAAAAGGCTTTTATGAGGTCGGTGAGGATGGGAAAATCCTTACATGTCTGTGCAAACTTTGCCCGTCGATAAAATGATTGTTATCTGTGGTTGTATATGGGTTGTGGCAATAATAATAGCCTAATAATAAAAAAGAAGCTCACAGCAACATATGGGGAAAAAAAGAACTAGTTCATTTTTGAAATATGAACTGAAATAGTTCATTTTAAAATTTGTGAATTGAACTTTGAACTAGTTCATGTAATGAACTTGGTCCAACAGGTTGATAAGAAGGTTTGCTTTGATATGTGCAAAGTCAGTAATTTGCCTGAGACACTATACATGTGTAGAAAGAATTATTTGTATTTCAAAAGCAGTAATTGGTTTTCTAAGTATAATAAAAGGAAATGTGCCTTTTGGAAAAAAAATCAATATAATAGTGTAAAGAAAATAAAAGGCAAATATGACTATCATCACAACAAAGATGTTGTGTATAAGAAAAAGACAAAGAAAGTTTGTAAAACTGTCAACTGTCAAGGACAGCTCATCAAGAACCAATCATGTACAGAAAGGAATGTTCAAATTCAGAGGAACAGTTCAGAAGAAACGTTAATAATAAAGATTGAGAAGATTGGATCAGTTGTGCTCCATTTTTGGAATATTTAAATACATTTTTTTTTATTTTTTGGAATACTTGATGCGGCCCGGCCCGGCCTGATCCAGACTCTATCTCCAGCGGCCCCCAGTTAATTTGAGTTTGAGACCCCTGTTTTACATTAAATATTTTAACTATTTTCCAAATAGTTATTAATATATATATATATCTAAAAAAAACTTAATAATTTTTTTTAATTAAAAAATTTCATTTTTTAATCCAACTATTGGGTTTGTCCATATTTGACCCAAAATTGGGTTAAAATAGCCCAGCATTTTAATATAACATAATAAATACATAATATTTATTCATAAAGTTGAAAAATTTATTTATAATCCACATTCATATCTGTTTAAAAATGTTGCTTTCTACTCACAGCTTGACAAATTAAACATTGACAATGATTTTGATGATAATAATGATAATATATACTTTTCTTTTGTATTTACTCAAAAGTGTGCCAGAACCTTAATTAGGTCCTGCACACACACACACACACACACTCTCTGATCTACATTAGTCTCATTTAATCTCTCACCTAAATTCTCTTTTAAACACAGATTTACATCCGACTGTAACCCACAGAATAAAAGCCCACTAAACACTCAGGGATCCAGGGCTCTTTTGTGCTCCGTTTTAAAAATTAGTTTTACACATTAAATTAAGTGTTTAATTCACAATCAACCTGCAAAAAACATTGTATTCATCATGCAACCATTTGGTTGTGGAAGCAAATTCTTATAAGTATAACAAAGAAAGATCAAACATGTATTTATATTAAGATCTCTCTCTCTCACACACACACACACACACACACACACACACACAGCCACTCATGTGCATGAGATGTTCCAGGCATTTAGGACACACAGGGTTGAGAGGCTCTCCTTCACTCCACCCCTCTATCTGCTCGCTCCATTTATCCCTCCATCCAAGACTGCTTTGTTTCACAGGCTGCCCAGGATTTGTACTGAACCATGCACCTCCCTCTCTAACACAAACACACACACACACACGTTTGTCTATCATGGGGAGGCTTGTGCATTGTGCTAAAAATATTTTCTCTATTTCTGAACTTTTGCATTTAAGCATTCATTAAATCACCATGAAATCAAATTTGACATTTGTTAAATTGATTATTTCTCATGGAATATTGCAGTATTTATTATAAATGATTTGTCCATGCACATAATTATTCTTCGATTAATCTTTAATCAAAATAACTTCCCCTCTCTCTTATTCATATCTCTCCTCTGATGATGTGTTGACCGGCGTGAGGGCGGGGAAACCTGTCACTCACATGAGATCCACCAATAGCAACCCAAGGACAAAATCAAGCCCCGCCCTCATTTTTTCTTATTCTAAAAGCCATTTCACTCTGATATACGTCACAACAGAGAAGAAAAGACTTTCGTCTCATGCCGACATTAAAATGCTATTTCAGGCTTTCTACTTCAAAATGTCAAATTAATTCAGTGTGTTAATTGCCGCTTCTTTGTAATTATTTGTGATATTTACAAGCAGTTTCTGGTTTTTCACAGTATAAAAGCAGTTTTCAAAGGTATAGACTAGCACATTTGTGTCATTGACATATTTATAGCACAAATATCACTCCAACCCATCTTAAATAGGGAAATATTTGGAATAATGTCCTTAGGAATATAATAGTATTTTTACTTTAAAATTTCACATTTAAGTAAATATGCTACTGTAATTTCTTTGTCATTATTTTGATATTACATCGATAATTGTTTCAAAGCAAATCCTGCACCATTTTTTTAAACTGTATTGAAGATGAGCACATATCTGCCTTTTTACACATTTATAGCACATGTAAATCACTCCCAACAAGGGAAATATCTGTAATTATGCAATCAGGAATATGAAAAACAAAGAAAACGAGATAGGGAATAAGAGCACAGCGAACGACAGATCTGAAGAAGACAGGTGCTTATTTCAGGTAAACATGAACGCACAACTCTTTTTAAAGTACCTGCCTCATCCCACAAGCCCCCCTCTCTCTCTGTTTGTCTTCAGTCTCAACCTGACCTAGTTACAGACTGCTGCAGTAACCAGCCTCCTCTGCCCAGGTGTCTCTCTCTCGCGCTCTCTCTCTCTCTCTGTCAGACTCCATATTGCCCGCTTAAACGAGGGAACTAGTCAATCCACAAACCAGTTGCATGTTTAACTCACACTCTTGCGCATTTCGCAAGATTGATTTACATTTACAAGAAATGCATGGAATACTACACATAATAAATACTAACAAATTCATGAAACAGAAGCAGAAATCGAATCTTTGAACTGATAGCAACAATGATTTATACTTGGCATGCGTTTCATGAATGAGGCTCTCAACATATGCAACAGTATGCCGAGATAAACGTGAGCATGCAACAGTATCATTATATAACGCGATGTTGCATATTTAATTCAGTTTACTTAATCTAATTTTGCAAAAATATATCGTGACGC